AGGTCAAAAATTGTTAGGGGAAATTAGAGTGACGTGCACATTCGCAAAACTATCGAACGATGTTATCAAAGGGAATTTCGTTCGTGCAAAGGATAATGTTAGTACCGAGAGAGCTAGCCTAACCGTTGATCCCGACAAACAGTGTGGAGTTGTAGTGACTAAGGAAAAGGTAAGCTTTCCTAAGATAGAACTTGATGTTTTCGCAAAGCTACTCCCACACTACGAGTAGGACTCATTCTGCCCTTCCGGCTTAGGGAGAGAACATACCAAGCAGATATTTCAAAGATGGCTGTGATCTCTGCATCAACTCGGAGAACTTAGCTTTCACCTTTCACCAAAATAAACTGTCCTAGTCCGGATCGCATATACGCGCACTTATAGGCGTACTTCCGAAGCAAACTCGAGGAAGGCAGGGTTCCGGTTCTTCTCTTCTTGGGTTTTCTTTATTCGTCGAAATCAGACATAAATGCACATTAAAGTTCGAGAGGGCTTTTTGCACCTTTTCGCCAAAAATGCACGAACCAAGTAACTGAATTAAGATTCAGTCACCACCACTCAGTAGCCTACAAAATTCAGACTTTGATCCCGAGCTCTCATAGGAAGTGTCACAATTTTGAGCACCCATTGACAAAAGCACCCATAAATGGCATAAGGTAACGACTACGTTACTGGCATTATGTTAGAAATAACAAGCTTTCCTACAAATTAGAGCAAGGCGACTAAACCCGTACGTGCAACACTAGAACGTGCTAGTAGTTATGTATTGCAGCTAGAATACAAAACACAGACTAGAGATGAGATATAAGGCAAAAAGTCATTGTTGGATGAGCATGAACATACTGTATTAAGTTGGTTGCTGCTGCGCTTGTGTATGATAACCTTCTTGCGGGACATACATGTACTGTTCAGCAGCATCAAGCTCATGCGGTTGAAGCAGACGACACTTTCGTAAGCGCTTCCATTCACCGCTTTGGTAATCCATCTAGAAGATTGCATAGTCACATATCGATACTACGGAGATATCCTTCGATAAGACAACTGCACTTGCTCTACAAAGAGATTCAGAAAAAACGGACCTGGAAGAAAGTCTCCACCTTCATTTTGCACATCTGATTATCTGCTAAGCCATCTTCAATCGTCTCAGAAAGCTTCATGGTGATTATGTGTCCAAGTTCCGGCCGCGGATTACCTAAAATTCATTTGATTGCTTGAGCTGCGCACTTACAAAACAATTTCAAGCCTTTCTTGACCAAAACTAGCTTGATTGAAGAAAATTATGAGCAAAAAACAAACAGCAGCAAAATTAACGTACATTTATTTCCAGTCATAAACGCTACCACCAGCTGTCGTCCATTCTGATCCAAAGAATTTGCATTACGGAGCATCTCATTACATTGATTCATAATCGCAGCTTCTCGAGCCTGAATTTCGAACTACATATAAAATGCAGTGTGAAAAACCAAAGTTACCCTCTGCGCTGGTGTGCGCTGATCACGAACGGATGTAGCTACCCAGACTTGACCAGTGCCGTATGAAGGAGGCCGGTGAGTCGATGGCTAAATCATGGGAAACTTTGAGTGCTAAACATCAGACAGACGTATATGCATACTTGTTGAAAAGAATGGGACAAGTACTGCTGCTGCTGCTGCTGTTGC